CCTAGTGCCTGCAGCTCGCGACCCTCATGAGCTCCATCGTCGGGCGGGTAGGGCGTGGGGGCAAGAAGACGTCGGGCCGCATGGTCGAGGCGACTGAGGTCAAGCGTGACCTGCAGGCCAACGTGAGACTTCGCAGGCAAGTCGCGAAGGTAGCAGAAGTCGGTGACAAGGGATCGCGCCGCTTGGTTGGCAATGATATAATCGATGCGCGAAGTGCGGGGGCACTTGGTGACGCGGTCCCAGTCAGGGATATTGCCGTAAGTTTGCATGGTGTGGTCTGGTGTGCCCTCAGCAACGTTGAACCATCCGTGCTGCAACATGTGCAGAAGGTGTGGATTGTCGTCGATGTTCGTATTGGCGTCCATGCAGATGAAGTAGGGGGCTGAGCCGACCCTAGCGGCGGCGCAGTCAGCGAGCCGAAAAAGAGCTGCGCTGTCTCCTCCAGCAATCCCGTAGAGGCTCGCTATGTAGATCCCCGCGGGCCCGTGGTTGTTTCGTCGCCGCCTGCGGCAGTGTTGAGTGCAGAGCGGGAGAAAGACCTCGTGCCATCTTTTCTTGGCCTTGAGGGCGGCGATACAGGGCGCATTGTCGTCGACAGTGGAGTCGACAATGGCATCCTTAGAGAAGATGGCGACCCCTCCCGAGGCGCCAGTGCTGCCCACAACGGTGTGGTCTGTGCCGCCGTGGGCAGCTCTGCGCTGGGCTCGCGCCAGATCTAGGTCAGGTCCAAGACTGGCGTGGTATCCTCCGTGGAGTGGATTGGCGGCGCTGGTAGCGATGGCTTGCCTAGTCGGCTTGGCATGTCGGGTCTCCTGCAGTGCTATGACTGCGGCGTTGTGGTCGACACCAAGGGCGGTGATGGTTGGCCAATTCGCTGAGAGACTGGTGATGTTAAGGCTGACGAGGTGTATGGAGCGACCTGGCCCGTCTCCATCGGTGGAACTGGGGTTTGCACGCCCCGCGCGGTGAAGGTCAGCTTGACCCTCGCCCAGGTAGGAGGCTTGGCCACAGTAGGAGCTCATGGCGTTCCTATGGATTAGCTTGACCGGGGCTGAAGCCGCCGTCAGGCCAGAAGTATAGGCGGGACACGGTCGGCACTGCGCCAGGGGGGGTTCATAAATGTCAGTAAAAATGTCACGAAAATTCCTCCTCACTCCAGTACCGTAGGGGACGAGGGGAGGAGAGGTGAGACGGCAGCAGAGGGAGAGGGAGGCGACTCCTCGATCCGTCCTGCCGAACACAAAAACAAAAGCGAACCAGCGGCGGCGGCTAGGCGCGGCGGCGGCACAACGCACGCGCATGTACTGCGCACGCGACACCGCTGGTCCCTCCTGCGGTGGCGCGCCCGCCCCGTCAGTATCTTGATGAGCAGCATCTGGTGGAACAGCTCCAGCAGCACGGTCGGAGGCCTGGCGCTGGGCCTCGTCCATGCCCGCTGCCGTGAGGCCCACGTTGCGGACAGGGCTGATTCCCCGCGGGGCCGCCGCTGCCGCAGCAGCCGAGGTGGCGGGGGCTCCGCCCCGACTCTGAGGTGAGAGCGGTGAGCCCCCGCCGAAACCCGCCACAAGGTTCTTGACACGGTACTTGTTCTTGAACGGGTCGAAGGTTGGCGCCTCGTCGATGGGGACGATCACGCGGGTGGGCAGCGGCGGCTCGTGGTCCGTGGACGGCGTCGGCTCGAGGTCGACCTGGCCAGGATCGATGACGCTGGCTCCGAAGCGTGGCACCACTTCGGGGGCTCGGCCATCAGCCTGAGTCTCGCGAGGCGGCGAGCTCGTGGAGCTCCCTGGGGCCTTGCGTGAACTGTGGCGGCTGCAGGTCCTGCTGCGCGGGACGCGCCCGCCCGTGTGGCGGTCGCGTGGCGAGGTCGCCTGGGCATTAGCGCGCTCGGAATCCGCCCTGCTCGGGGATCGGATCGGCGCCGCGCAGGGTGATGGGCTGGGCTGGCGAGAGGCGCTTGTGCCGCCCTCCGCCGTGGCTGTGGCCTGGTCGGGGTCGACAGCGTCGGGGCGGGGGCTGACGTGGTGGGCGCTTCCCTCGCTGTGCCGCGGGGAGGCGCTGTGATGCGCCTGGATGTGCGTGAGGACGAGCGGGGTAAGCGGCTGCCTCTCCCGCTCAGGTGGGGCAGGTTTTGCCTGGGCAGGGCGCAGTGCTGCAGCTACGTTTGGCGGGGGCGTGTGCTGGCGAGGTTGCCAAGCGCGCACGTTCGCATCACGCCATCCTTCGGGGCGCCCAGCCCTGCCACGGTTTGTTGCAGCCCCCTGGGCTGAAGCCGCAGGGGTTATCACTGCGGGCTGGTTGCTGGAGGTGCCATCATGTCGGCCTGAGTAAAGGCCCCAGGCGCGCGTGGACCCTGGCACTGGCGAGGTGGCCCTTAGGGCCTGCACGGGTGCACGCGGGTAGCCGATGACCGCTGGGTGAACCCTGGCGTGGGGGGCGTGGCCGTAGCTGGAGGCGGCTGCTCCAGCAGCCGAGGGCCTGGCGCCTATGGGGCCACGGTAGTATGCGGCAACCCCGTCGTAGGCCGTGTTACCGCCTGTCGGGACTCGCGCAGGGGAGCGGTAGCGTGGCGTGCCGTGCTGTCCTGCGTCACGTTGGTCCCACTGCTGGATGCGCTGCTGGTGCTGTTGGTGACGCTGCCAGTCGGCTCTCGAGAGGGGACGGGTGTCGGGGAGGATGGTGGGCACATCTGGCCGCTGCCAGCCCCGATAAACGTGCTCGAAGGCGTGGTCAGGGTAGGTCCCCCCTACGGGCGAATATCGCCGCACATGCTCCATGTAGTCGATGTTCTGCGGCTCTGAGATCGCCGTGATGTTGACGGCTCGTTGGTGCGCTGGTCCATAGAGGCAGAAACTACCACGGTTGCTGCGGTCGTGGTTTAGCTCGGCTTCGGTCGTGGCACGGCTCACCATGGCGTCGCAGAGTCGCATGTCGTAGTCGAGGGCTTGAGGCCCAGGACCACCCTCGGCGTCCCAGTACAGTACCACATCTCGCCAGCGGGTGCGGGTAGTGTGGATGCGCTCGGCGATCGACTCGCAGACGGTCCTGACCGTGACACGATCCCTGTACATGTTGGTAATGGCTAGGGAGTAGGGTCGGCGGACCGTCTTGTTGAAGGTGAATTCCTCCTTGAGGGCCTGGTGGGGACTGAAGAGCACGTAGCCTTCCCTCCAAAGCGGTTGGTCGGGGGAAGGTTCTTCGGGCATCCCCGTTCCTGTGAATCCAGGTGGCCGCCTTGTGCCGTCAGGCAGTCCCTGCCTGGGGACGCGCCGCGGCTGCGGTGGGAAGGTACCATTGACCCTGGTAGCCTGCTTGCCCTGGTTGTGGAGGTTCCCCCCCGGGGCCTGAAGGCGCTCGGGGGGGTTCCTTGAGGTCGTGGAGGGCTGGCGCGTTGCCGAATTGGCGGGCAAGGATGTGCGGCGGCATCCCTGTGGCACGGACGTCGAGCAGGTTGTGTGGCCTGGGGGGGTGGGGGCACCTGCTGGACAGGCAGCATGTGTCGGAGTCCCTGTTGTTGGTGCTGTATGCACACGTCCAACTGTTGCACGAGTAGTCCGTGGACCAGTCCATGAGTGTACGCAGTCCGCTGCGGCCGCAGTCTGGGCACGTTGGTTGGCCCGAGGTGCCGAGCTGCGTGTTGCGGCGAGCCGCACAGTACTGACAGCATTGGAATCGACACTGTAGGCAAGACCAGCGTCCTGGTAAAGGCGGGAGCGCATGCTCATTTGTGCCTGGGTCGTCTGGGTGGGGTCTCGGGCGATCCCACAAGGGCCAGACGTCAGCAAACCAGGATTGGCCTGTAGTGCGGACAACCTCGGCGGGGAGGCGTGCGTCCTCGGCATGGCACCTGATCCACTGGGGCCCCATGTCCGCTGGTACCATGACGGTGCGCCAGGAGTCGTCCGCTTTGACGTGGACTTGGGTCGGTGCCCAGAGCTTAGTAGTGGTGTCGCCGTGGTCGTGGTGGAGGATGACCCAGCCGTCACGCCCGTCCACCGCAGGGTCAATAACGCGGTGGCCCATGACTGTCGTCCCCCACGGTAAGTAGGCACCATCGTGGTGATCACCAGGGTCGAGCGGTCAGAGGCAGAGAGAGAGGAAGAGAGAGAGACAGAGAGGCAGAGAGCCAAACAGACAGACAGACAGACTGACTGACAGGCAGACAGGCAGGCAGGCAGGCAGGCAGAGCAGACGAGCGCGCACCGCCGGCCCGGTGGACTACAGGGGAGCGAGAGGGGGAGAGAGAGGGAGAGAGAGCGAGGGAGCGCGCACCGTCGGGGTCCGACGAACTATGGCCAGCGCTCCGCGGGAGGGAGTGGAAGGCAAGGGGGGGGAGAAGGAGGGGGAGAGGAGGGAACAGCGGAGGCCAGTCCACAAGAAACCTTCCACAAGAAACCCAACCCCGAGATCCCAGGACGCCCACTGACTTACTGTGTGGGAACGTCACGCCTTCCATGGCAAACCTATCGAAACCCAGGAAACCCAGGGCACCCTCGAGGCAAGCAGGGTGCTTCTTGGCACGGGTTTCAACTGTATGGTAGAATGGCTGACTACACGTGAAACCTACCCCTGCAGGCCAGAGTTCTGAAACACTGGCATGGATTCAACGAATGAAGAATCTCTGCAAGCGAGCGGGCCCCTTACGGGGGTGTCAGGTACCCCAACTTCGGTCTGATCGCACTGGTAGGATTCGTAAATGGTCACATGGCAGACTCCGGAAACCCTGAAACCCAAAATGCTGACGTCCCGCCGTGTTCCGCCGACCTTTCGCCAGAGGACCCGCCGCCAGTCTACCCGCGGGCTTCCGCCAGCCTTCTGCAGGCTTCCGCCGAGGGACCTTTCTGGGACGCCGCACACAGAGAAGGGGGCAGAGGGAGGGGAGTGGGCACAGGGAGGGGAGGGGAGGGGCAAAGGGAGGGATGGGGCCAAAGAGAGGGAATAGAGACGGACGAGAGAGACCACTGCCTTGGTCTCGAGCCCCCCCCCAGCGGGCGGGCGGCCTAGCACGGGCCAGCAGCGGCTCCGCGTCTGCAAGCCTGCGTACGGGCGAGGTCGGCGTCTCTCCCGAGCCTACCACATCACTGAGCGCGGGGGGGCAACAAAAATCCACCGACCCTTCAGCGTGTGTGAGTCGCTAATAAGTTTGAGTCGTCGTCGTCGTCGTCCCCCTCCTCCTCCTCGTCGTTTCGTCGTCTTCCCCAAGGAAACTCAAAAACAAAGAAGTTGAAGAACGCCGCAGCCAAGTCGAAGGAGAGGGAGCGCGATCCACCGTCGCTGGGCTGAGATATTTCCCTACAAAGGGAGGGTCATACACCAGGCGACCCCTCCTCCTCCTCCTCCTCCTCCTCCTCCTCCTCCTCCTCCCCCTCCTCCTCCTCCTCCACCTACTTACACTCCCCCTCCTCGCGCACGTCTCGCTGGCGAAACTCGCCCGGGGCCCGCCCTGAGAAAATCCGAAGGAGAGGGTCAGAGGCCAAAGGGCCCCTCCCCCCCCCCCCCCAAACCCCTCCCCCCAACACCCCCACCACGGGAAGAGAGGGTCCGGACCCTCCCCTCCCGTCCGGGGAAATAAAGGGGGGGGGTCGGAAACCCCCCTCCCCCCCCCGACACCAACAAAACTAACATGCGGGGGGCCCGGAACCCCTCCCCCCCTGCTCCCCGGGATCATAAATGAGGGGGGGTCCCGACCCCCCCTCCCCAAGAAAATTAATGGAGGGACCAGCACCCCCCCCCCTCCCCAGAACCTTCTGACAATCATCGGGGGCGGTCCACAGGCCCCCTCCTTCGGCGACGATGACGACAACGACGACGACGTCGACGATGACGACGAGGACGACGAGGACGACGACGACGACGTCAGCGGCGGCGGCGGTGGTGGCGCACCTGTCGCCTGCGCCCACGCCAGGCGCTGATTTAAATGCTGTAGGCGGCGCGATCCAGCTCTCTCAGTATCCTGCTAGGAATATTATGTTATTTACCCTGCTCTTCCCCACTGCTTAGGATGATCAGGAAGATGAGCAGGAGAAAAAGGAAGAGGATGAGGACGAAGAGCAGCAGCAGGAACTGGAGTGGAAGGAACGGGAGGAACAGGACGGCCAAAGGAACTCGAACTGGCATGACACGGGAATTAAGTCCAGCGCTGCAGCGGCAGCACGATTCGGAACGAGCGGAAGCGCGGAATTGAGGCCAGCGCTGCAGCGGGAGCACGGTTCGGAACGAGCGGCAGCGCGGAAATGAGGCCAGCGCTGCAGCGGGAGAGCGATTCGGAACGAGCGGATGCCCGAAAATGAGGCAGGCGCCTCAGCGAGAGCAGCATTTTGGAAAAAGCACAGCGAAAACCCACTTCCCCGACATCGTGCGCCAAAAAACATACGCGAGGGGGGGGCCTGACACTCCGAGGCCGATTCTGGGACAGGCCCAGGGCAGAGAGGAGAGTAGTATTCAGATTGAATAATTGTAGAGGGAGGGGGCGGGGGGAAGAAGAGGGAAAGGAACGGGGAAGAGGGGGGGGTAACAAGCTGGGTGCGCTCGCGTCAGCGTCTGACATCCCGCCCCTCCCTCCCATCCCTTCCCGTTGCGCTGCGTCTCCTCTCACCACGACGACGACGACGACGACGACGACGACGACGACGACCAGGACGACGACGACGACGACCACGACGACGACGACGACGACGATCGCATCTGGACGACGACGACGACGACGACCAGGACGGCGCTCGCGCACGCCCGCCGGGCGCGCCGTGTCCCCGGTGCGGGTGCGTCGGCCTGCGCCCCGCGGCTCGGCCGCGCGGAGGAGCCGGCCCACAGCGTCGTGCCTCGGGCGAGGCGGCGTGCCTCGGGCGAGGGCCTCCCAGCCAGGTCGGGTCGCCCGGCTGGCGCGCCCCGTCTTCTGGGCGTCATGTGGCGAAAGAGTGGTCTCCCACCAGCCCTCTGGGCGCAGGTGGTCTAGGGCGTTTCCTGTTCCGACCTCCTGCCTGTCCCTGCTCGGGAGGTTGTTACCTCCCCCCCCTCCCTGCGTCTGGGCGGGCTCCCCCGCGAGGTGGCAGAGGGTTCTTTTGTGGTCCAAGATGCCCAAGATAGCCCCAAGAGGTGTCCAAGAGGGCCCCAACACTGCCCCAAGAGCGCCCAAGAGCGCTCCAAGAGGGCCCCAAGACGGCATTTTGAGCCTCCGAAGGGGGGGGGCAGGAATTAAGGACCCCCTTTTTTTTGGCGAAAAGGTCCAAGACGGCCCCAAGAGGCCCCTCAGGCATCCCAAAAGAGCCCCAAGAAGACCCCCAGACCCGCCAAAAGAGCCCTAAGAGGGCCCCAAGACGCCCCAAAAGAGCCCCAAAAAGCCCCAAGAAGGCCCTAAGAGGACCTCAGGAGAGCCGCAATAAAAAAGCCCCAGGAGGCCCCGAAAGGGGCCCAAGAGAATCCCAAGAGGGCCCCAAGATGCCTCCAAGTTTCGGAGCGCACGCGAGCTTAAGATACGAACGAGTGCAACAGCCATTACGAGTCATCGAAACACCCCTCACCCCTCATCAGAGCACCGTGGTAGCTTGCACCGAGTTCCATCTTAAACTTCAATGCGGGAAGCTATTTGTGATGCTTGTTTTCTCGAAGACGGCTGTGCGACTGCATGCGTCCTGCCGCCCCTGATTCACCAACTCCCCTGCTGATCCTTTCTGGATGGGCTGGTGGGGACACTTTTTTTGATTGCGGCCGCGAGGCAACGGTCAGGCGGCGAGAGCAGTGTCCGGGGCAACGCTGGTGGGGGCACTTTTTTTTTACAGCCGCGGGCGGAAGCGCCAGCGGCGGCGAGTAACGGTCGGGCTGCGGCCGAAACTAATTGGCCGGACGCGCGCGCGGGCCGCGGCCGGCGCCGGGGCGGCGGGTGCAAGGGTGCTGCAACCCAGTGTGTCTGACGCCCAGGGACCTGCACCCAGGGAGTCTGTAACTACGCTGCCAAAATGGCGCGATGCAAATAACCCCAAGGTGTCAGAGGCCATGGCCAAGCAGTACGCCGCTTGGGTACAGTATCTGAACAGTATCTGGTGGGGACACGCGAAGCGTCAAGAAAATTATGTTTCCTGACATACTCTACTCTACTCCACTCTGCTCTACTCTACTCTTGCTCTACCCTCCTCTACCTGTATTACATGTCTACTCAACTATACCCATATACCCATTCTTACTCTACTCTGTTGGCCCTACTCGAATTGACCTTACTATACTCATTCGTACCGTACCCTAACGTGATCTACTTTGCTCCACGCTGCTAGTACTTAAGTTTACCATACGCGTTCTATACTCTACTCTACTCTTCTCTACGCTGCCCTACTCGACGCAACTCTACTCGACCCTACAGTACCCAACCTACTCGATTAAATGAAATTCGATGATACTCCAAATATCCTCTTCTCTACTGTACTCCTTATATACTCTGCTTAGCTCTGCCCTACTCTCCTATGTCTGCTCTACTGTATACATGTGCTCTTCTCCACTCGACTTCTTTTCGATTCAAATATGATCAACACCTCTCTTCTCTACTATGCCATACCCTACTCCACTCTACCCTACCGTACCGCATCCCACCATGTTCTACACGACTCTACTCTACCCTGCACTCTACTTCTACTATAACACCATCTACGCCTACTCTACTACACTCTGCCCGTCGTCGACGTCGTCCTCGCGTGCGTCGTCTGTCGTGCGTCGCTCATCGTCGTCGTGCGTCGTGCGTCGCCGTCGTCGGCGTCGTCGACGCGCGTCGTGCGTCGCGCGTCGCGCGTCGTGCGTCGTGCGTCGTCGTCGTCCCTCTCGTCGTGGTCATCGTCGTGGTCGCCGTCGTCGTCATCGTCATCGTCGACGACGTCGTCGACGACGTCGTCGACGTTGGCGTCGTCGTGGTCGTCGTGGTCGTGGTCGTGGTCGTGGTCGTGGTCGTGGTCGTGGTCGGCGTCGTCGTCGTCGTCGTCGGCGGCCGCGGCGGCGTCGGCGGCGGCGTCGGGGTTGTCGTCGTCGTCGTCGTCGGCGTCGTCGTCATGGTTGCTGGGGGGGGGAGGACCCCCCTCCAGTGATGATTTTCCCGAAGTGGGGGGAAGTTCTGGACCCCCACGGCTACTTTTCCCGTGGGACGGGGGGTGGAGGGGGCAATTTTCACGGAGGGAGTAGGCCCCCCCACTAATTTTCCCCGGGGGTGGGGAGGGGCGATGGGGTCCGCCCCTGGTTTTGAGAGGGCGGGGAGGGGGTTGAACCCTTCACCTGCCAGCAGCGGCAGGAAGCGCCCTTTCAGACGAAGAGGGCCCTTCCCTTGATCCCTTCACTGCCGGCGGGGTGGTCCCTGGGAGTCCCTGGAAGGCAGCAGCGGGGTCCCGGGTCAGAATACCATCCCCCCCAAAGGATCCCAAGGATCCCAGAGCCCGAAGAGCGACAAGACGGGCCTAGAGTGCCCCAAGAAACCCCCAAGAAACCTCCCGAATCGCCAAACGATCGGTCCAAGAAACCCGAGATAGCCTCCAAACAGCCCAAAAAGGTTCCAAGATGCCCCAAGACGCCTCCAAGAGCACTCCCACGAGGGCCCTACGAGGCAAATTTTCTTGATTGTCCTTCCGTTTTTGACAGAGTTTGGCGTTCTGGCCTTTTCGGATTTCTGACGCTCCCCGACAGGCCCCCACCAGGCTTCAAATTCCCCCCAGAGGCTCCCGCGAGCTCTCCGAAGAGACCCAAGAAGCATCCTCGGGACCCTGGCTCACGTCAGCGTCGTCGTCGTCGTCGCCGCAGCCACCGTCGTCGTCCCCCTTCCGGGTCGGCGGCACCGGCTGTGAGGCCCTCGCAAAAAAAGACAGAAATCGCTGGCTCGCCGACAACGGGGTGGCCAGGGGCGAAAATACCAAAACGGCTTGTGCTGGGACGACCTCGGCACAACGGAGATGTGCAGGCCTGGGCTCTGGGGACGTCGACGCCTCCCTGGCTTGGTTGGGGGTCATTTGCACCGATTCTGGAGCCAGCATCGGCCGGGCCGGTATCGATGAGGTGGTCAGTTCACGCCACC